ATCATCATCATCATCATCATCATCATCATCATCATCATCATCATCATTTGATCAAGGGAGAGCATGCAAATTATCAAATAAAGTGGTCCAAGCACTGAGCCTGAGGCATTCCTTTACGAGTTGTGATTGTAGGGAAACAAATGTCCTGATGCAAATGTCCTGATGTTTGTAGGGAAACAAACATTGCCAATGATGACCAATGTCTTCCCAGTGGGTAGGACTGCAGTCAGGAGAGAACTTTACCAATGACTAGTGATTGAGAGGATGATATGAGAGATTGAATTCAAACCTACAGTACAGTTGTGAAAAATGACAGGTACTGCAGAGTTTTGCAAAGCATGTTGAAACAAAAACTACAGGCACAAATTTTCTGAAAAATATTAAATTTAATTTGGTTATAAAAGTTGTATTTTTTCACACATACACTCACACATATTTAATTATCATAAATACCATCTAATACATTTTTCATTTCTTCTTTTTAAAATGTGATTCACAAAGCAAGCACATACGGTGGACCGATACATGTGATTTCAAAGGACACTATGGAGAATGCTTGCCACCTTTTATACAGGGAGAGAACAGACRTATCAGTGCAATTAAAAAAGGCTGTCGTAAAATCAAGTAGAAACATTTTTTTATAAATTATCTACAAATGGATCAAAGTACAAAAGAGCTACAGTGTTTGCAGACACAACACTCATTCAGAGGTGAATCTTTTGGTTTTATAAACACCTTGTTTCAGAATCGAGACCAACAGGACGAGAAAMTTTACATGAACAGCTTTGGAAAAGAAAGAAATGAAAAGTAAACTTGTTGTCAGCCATACTTTTCTCGATTTTGGTTTTGGCAACCCTCTATCCTCATTCAGAGTATTAATAAAGTATGAGGAGATAAACCCTGTTGTATACAATAAACATACTGCAAACAAACAACTGAAGATAAACTGGACATAATGAACATMTGAAACTAAGAAACTAATGAGATGATTGAAGCTATGAGTCATACTTATCATCATGAATATAGTTGAATTTTTGAGCACTTCTATATTTTTCTCTAACACAAAATTGTAGCGATTCGTTTAGAATTTCAAGCAACTTGAATGATACTTTATTGATCCCATGAAGGGAAATTACAGTTCTGAATAATTCTCTCAAAGAGATAACAGTTTTGTGTCTTTCTGTCTTTACAACTAAAGGTAGAAACAAGAATTTTTTTTCTTTTTCTCCACATGTCAATTTGATACAAATATGATGCATTTTATTTACCAATTGACCTTGTTGCAACACTAAGTTATTTTGTTAGTGAATTTGAAAATGAGATGACAGAAGGTTATACAAATATAAGAAACCAAATCTAACTTAAAATGTGTCTACCTAAATTATCACAACTCACTAAGAGTTTGACTAATTGAGGTGGCACAACTGATCKGATCAGTTTCCTTTATCTTCATCTATGTATTTATTTCAACGTTTTAAATCATTCAAGAYCATAGGAATGAAAGTGAAACCTGTTTTTTGACAAATCCCTCCATGATAATCATGTATAAGCTGTTTAACATGTAAAATAGTATAGTCCTTATGTACTTTAAGTGCAAATAGAACATAAATCCAAGCAAAACYAAAACCCAAGTAAATGAGTTAATATTTTTCTACAGACATTTTCGGACAAAATCAGAGAACAATTCATGCTTCAGTATTTTAGATTTGAAGTTTTCATTTGTCTTCATCATGTCTCACTAACTGWATATCTGTGTGAGACAACCGAACTACACAGTGCAGTCAATGGAAGTAGCAGCACATCACCATATATCACAAGACCAAGAACAAGATYGCCTCTCTTTCAGAAACAGAACAAAAGTTTACAAGATTTATGAAAGTGCAAAACAGAAATGCATCACTTACACACAGGCACACCAAGTATGTCCTTAGCCAGTTTTCAGACCAATCAAAATTGTGCAATCAGTGGATAGACRCGCATTTTTTGTCTTGAACTAGGCGTTTCATGACAGTTTCACAGCAAAGACAATGACCATTACTGATCTAATTTCTTTCCTAAAAATGTCAAAGCACAGGCGACCCGTTATGAAACAAAAACCCGTTGTAAGTTAGTCTTGTCGTCAAATGAGGAATGTCGTGCTCATCATGTTTTCGTAAAGGCCACTGAGACAGCTGAGCTCACCCGGTGTTTTAATGCCCTGAAACCCATCTTCTCTGAAGTCTGGGTTAATTCTTTCATAACCCAAAACCACGTCACTAATCTGAAAACCAGCAAGTGAAAATTTGTTTCTTCCAACTCAATGCTACCATCTCTCTATAATATTGCACTGAATAAAAGATTCTAGTTAGCAGCCAGCATTGCTTCACAGAATGCTTCATAACAGTGTTTTCTAGTTGAGATTTTCTCAGGAGAAAATGATGCCTTCAWAAAACTTGATGTTCTTTTGCTAAGAAAAGTTTTGTTTTCCAGCTTCAAACAACTGTAAAGTTTATTCTACCTGAAAAAAAAGTTTATGTCATGAAAATCCTAGTTTTTTTTTTTCTTTAATCAGTTTTTAAAGACATTGCAGGAAAATGTGTTTGTGTCTGCATGTGACTTCACTCTTCATTTTGGAACTGCACTGTACAAAAATAATGTACCGTTACGGACACAATCAAATCACTTGTCAGGCTCAAACAGTCCAGGAGACAAATGTCCACTCTGTCATGTGCTGTTAGATCAGAGCTGATTGTATGGATGCTATATACAGAGCCCCACAGGTAGAATAATTGTACATTAATGTTTATTATGTTGTTTTTCATTTAACTGGAGAAAGTCTCTTAAGCAGTTTCTTTCCCTTAGAAAGTATTCCTTTTTTCTTCTTGAGATCTTGAGGGTCCCTGGGGTCTAGCGGGATGTGAGGACCCCTCGGCGGACTGAGAGGTCTCATMGTTCCCGGAAGCAGGGGTCGAACGATCGGGGAAGGGGCTCGGACGGGCTTGCTGATGTTGTTGGCCGTGTCAGAGGTTTCTGTGGTAACCTGAGGAGATAAGTGGTGGGGAGGTGTGGAGGCAGGGGGCAGCGTATTACAAATGACGCATTGCTTCACCTCGCCTCTGAGACGCTTGGTGAATGCATAACTCATCTTCAGCAAAGTCAACTAAAACACAGGAAAACTTGCTTTTACGAGGCCTGACTGGATTTCTTCATTAAAACACAGTGTAAATACTGGATAAAAGCAGAACGTAATGATTTACAAATCATGTAAAAATGCTAAAATTGAGCCTTTAAAAAGATAAAAGAAATAGAGTCATGGTAATTAAGGAACACAGTATGCTGAAGTGTCAAACTTTTGCTAAAATAACCAGAAAAATCTGACCTGAAACATTTACACATTTGCTTCACCTTCTGTGTTGATAACAAGGCTGACAGTCTCTGTCAGCTTTACACAACTAACCGAAAATGTGAAGTTGAAATGGTAGAAATAATATTCAAAAACATAGTAAATAAAGACCATATGGTGATATTTTGAATATGATTATTTTTAAGACATTTGTAAATTAACTGGATCTCAAAACATCACTTTGGCCTCACTTGAAGAAATAATTAGCTTATTGATCCAGGGGAAATTGTTTTCCAAACTGCTGCTGTTTAAGGAGGTATTAATTGTTCATGACTCCATAAAACTCTACACAAAAAATAAATAAAAATAAATAAAACAGATATAATGGATTTAATTTAAAAAAAGTCAACTGGTTCCACTCAACTGAACTGAACAGTTGTTCCACCGGTGGGCAAAAATGGTGCTGTTTCTGCCTTTAAACATATCCGGACATTTAAAGTCGCTAATGGGGCCTTTTTTTTTTCTTTTTTTTGAACACCAGGGTGTCAGATGAAAAAAATTGCATAGGTCCTCTGGACGGGTTCTTCTTTAATGAAACGTTTCGTCTCTTCCAAGAGACTTCTTCAGTCTGAGAGTTTCAGGCAAAATTAAGGCTTTTGAGTATGAGTCACCTGTGAGCGATAGCCAGGTGATGTGAGTATGAGTCACCTGTGAACGACGACCATGTGATGTGAGTATCAGTCACATGGAGGCAGGACTCAAAAGCCTGAATTTTGCCTGAAACTCTCAGACTGAAGAAGTCTCTTGGAAGAGAGACGAAACGTTTCATTAAAGAAGAACCCGTCCAGAGGATCTATACAATTTTTTTCCTTTGATTTTTTACCTGGATTACTGAGATGCATCAGGACAGGGTGTCAGACGACTCCCTGCGATTCTTACCATCTTTAACTTGATGCCCCTTACAAAAAAATAAAAAGGCTATTAAGGTAATGCATTTACTTTTCCTTCAAGTAAATGTAAAGTAAATATAAAGTAAATACATTACCTTTACTCATTTCTGTTAACTGGAACCAGTTGACATAATTGTTTTAATTAAATCCATTATATCTGGTTTTTGAGTGAACTTGGGGAAAAAACATCAGAACTGCCACATTAAGAAGAATTTTACGTTTCTCACTTTCATCCTTGTAAGTTGATCAAGAGCATCAACTTTTTTAACAAATTCATTAACAGTTGGGAAAATAGTTACTGTATGTTTTGACACACAAACACACAATTAGTACARAAGAAGAAAAATCACAAAAGAGGAAGTCGTCAAATGTTGAACACAACATCAGAACACCACAGAGGGAAAAAAAAATAAAAAATAAAAAACTCCACCACCATCAGTAGGCCAGAAGAGAACACAAAGCAGAGTTGTGTAAATTACAACACCCAGGGACACAACTGTAGATTCCAGGCCTCTCCTCTAATGCAGCAGCTTGTATTTAATGTATTAACATTTTCAAAGAATTTTTGTAAAATTTAAAAAGTCAGACGTATCTGATGCTTTGTTTTAGCATATCAATCACACATAGAGCAAAATGTTCTTTAAATTAAAATATTGGGAATATTAGAAAAAATAACACTGAAACATGTTTTGCATGTTTTTGAGTCATCATAATGCCGTGTAAGGATTCACTGTAGCCCCAAGCTGYGTGCATTAGAGCTGCGAGTCTGTCATCTCAAGTTGCCAGCTTACTGTACAAGGCAGACAGAGCCACTTATGGTGTGAAATGAACAATCTTCCTCTGTTTGTTTAGTTTTGCTTTGCCAAGCGGGTGAGGAAAAACAGAAAAGAAATCAGATGAGCACTGTCACCGTCGAAAAAAACCCACACCACTAAGACAACCGAAAGGAAACGAAAAAGAAAAACAACAACAACAACACCATGAACATAGAGCGCAAACACAAATGGGTTTAATATCCAATTCTTAGTTTTTTATTGTTTCATTAGAACAGTACAGAATGGATGTCTCGATGCTGCGGTTAGTTTTGTCTCTTGATTTCAGAGCAAACATGGCAAATCCACCATCATCAGGGCTGAAAAATAGATTTGATGTGTGGGCAAGAGAAACAAAGCCTCTTTAAGGAAATACACAACTTGAGCCAAGAAAGTTATAAAAAGTATCAAGTTTGAAAAAGACATGCCTTTCTTTTTTTTTCTTTTTCTTTTAACTTAAATTTTTCTTCTTAAATTATTTCTTTCAGAGAGATTGGGTAGCAATTGTCATGTAATAATAAAGCACTTTTTACCATTAGAATTATACACAATCACCACAATTTGATTTTGTGTTTCAGTGCAAAAAGGTACCAAATTGTTTAGTGTAAGGAATGAGTCCTCTTTAACCATGCATGGACCACCTGCAGAGTTCCCACAGTCTGTCCGCTCTCTGTCCACAGGCTTTGCTTCTTCCTTTCTCTGAGATTAAGAAAGGTGTAACCACCGGATTTTGTCCCCTTTTCCAAAAGGGGTGAGGGGAGGTTGTTAGTCTGTACAGAGTCACCACTGTCACCACACGGACAAACACACACAATGAACAGCACACAGACTGCAGGTGGAGGAAGCAAAAGACGGAAATCAAGAGAGAGGACGGAGGATGGATGAGCACAGGGCCTAGCGCTGAGAGCGGCGAGAATGATGTACCCGTTTTCCCTCCGACACGGCGGCAGCAGAGTTGACAGGGGGCCGGTTGGTGGGCTCTTCCTGGGGGTAGTGGGACGGGGTGTCGGTCAGATACACCTCCACGTCATCAGGCACTTCTTCCAGGAAGTTAGAGGGAACCAGACCGCGATGGCCGTTGAGCTCACCCTGTGGACGGAAACATGGGAGAGTAGAAAACAGCATCCTGACAAACAAATATGTTTTCAACATATTTTACTGATGGAACTATTTGTTCGTTACTCAAGAATGATTTAATGATTGATGTCAATGTTTAGAAATCAGGGCAGTTGATGGGAGACTAATGAAGCAAACTTGTTTGTTTGGTTTTATTCCCTAAATAAAGGTTACCAGTTTGATACTCATACACATTATTGCAACCAACTTTTGGAAGTGTTTTAGCCATAGAGCTTGATGCCAATTAATATACTCCTGTCTGACTTAGTATTTATTACGAATGCAGTTCCAAGACTACAGTTATCTTTATTTTCCCCCTAAAAATAACTGTTTCTGTATTACCAATTAAAGAAAAAAGAAAAAGTGAAAAAAGACACCCCTGTTGTCAGAGGTTGGTAATAATTATTTACATTTACTTGAGTACGTTTTTGAAAAAAAAATGGAGTTTTACTACACCATTTTTACTTGACTAAATTTTTACTTTATGTAATTTTATTACAAAGTATCACTTCTCTTACTTGAGTAAAGTTTCTGAATACTCCACCCTGTTTAAGCAACTGTACTGAATGAAGAACAAATATGTTTTAACAAAAATGCACCAGAGACACACCTACAGTTTGATGGAGAAGTGAGCGCTCTTGTTTGTTCACAAGCTCTGCTGCTCTAAAGCTATTTTCTGTCTGCTGAGCCTGCTGAGGCATTTGGAGGTCAAGGGAATTTATAGTAAACAGTAGATAAAGTCACTGGAATTACTTTACCCTGTTCTATGTGTATATTTATATTTACATGAATACACATTACCAATATGTAAGTATTAGTTTTATGAATTTCATGAGAAAATTTTGACTTGAAAAGTGTTTCTTCTGCTGTAATTTATTTGTAATTTATTCATTTATTTAGTTTTTGCATTCATTTTCTTCATTTTAGTCTTTAAAAACACCAGAATTTGAAAACAACTATCAGGTTTTTTGTCAGCCTGATGACATCTTTTACTTGAGTAAATATACACTCACTGGCCACTTTATTAGGTACACCTGTCCAACTGCTCGTTAACACTTAATTTCTAATCAGCCAATCACATGGCGGCAACTCAGTGCATTTAGGCATGTAGACATGGTCAAGACAATCTCCTGCAGTTCAAACCGAGCATCAGTATGGGGAAGAAAGGTGATTTGAGTGCCTTTGAACGTGGCATGGTTGTTGGTGCCAGAAGGGCTGGTCTGAGTATTTCAGAAACTGCTGATCTACTGGGATTTTCACGCACAACCATCTCTAGGGTTTACAGAGAATGGTCCGAAAAAGAAAAAACATCCAGTGAGCGGCAGTCCTGTGGGCGGAAATGCCTTGTTGATGCCAGAGGTCAGAGGAGAATGGGCAGACTGGTTCGAGCTGATAGAAAGGCAACAGTGACTCAAATAACCACCCGTTACAACCGAGGTAGGCAGAAGAGCATCTCTGAACGCACAGTACGTCGAACTTTGAGGCAGATGGGCTTCAGCAGCAGAAGACCACACCGGGTGCCACTCCTTTCAGCTAAGAACAGGAAACTGAGGCTACAATTTGCAAAAGCTCATCGAAATTGGACAAGAGAAGATTGGAAAAACGTTGCCTGGTCTGATGAGTCTCTATTTCTGCTGCGACATTCGGATGGTAGGGTCAGAATTTGGCGTCAACAACATAAAAGCATGGATCCATCCTGCCTTGTATCAACGGTTCAGGCTGGTGGTGGTGGTGTCATGGTGTGGGGAATCTTTTCTTGGCACTCTTTGGGCCCCTTGGTACCAATTGAGCATCGTTGCAACGCCACAGCCTACCYGAGTATTGTTGCTGACCATGTCCATCCCTTTATGACCACAATGTACCCAACATCTGATGGCTACTTTCAGCAGGATAATGCGCCATGTCATAAAGCTGGAATCATCTCAGACTGGTTTCTTGAACATGACAATGAGTTCACTGTACTCAAATGGCCTCCACAGTCACCAGATCTCAATCCAATAGAGCATCTTTGGGATGTGGTGGAACGGGAGATTCGCATCATGGATGTGCAGCCGACAAATCTGCGGCAACTGTGTGATGCCATCATGTCAATATGGACCAAAATCTCTGAGGAATGCTTCCAGCACCTTGTTGAATCTATGCCACGAAGAAYTGAGGCAGTTCTGAAGGCAAAASGGGGTCCAACCCGTTACTAGTGTGGTGTACCTAATAAAGTGGCCGGTGAGTGTATGTTGAAGTAGTACTCTTATGTCTGGGTACTCCACCCACCTCTGGCTATTGTGCAAAAAGCCTCGACAAAAAAGTATAGTGTTAAATGTAAAACTCTTGCTTGAAAATGCTTGTTGATTATGTTAAGATTAAGATTTTTTTAACGATATTAAAATCATTTTCCAGACTTTAAAAATATTTCAGTGGCTGAAAAGAAGTACTTTAAAACACGGACATGCGTCACTCACATAATAAAATCCATCTTCGTCAATGTCACCAAACACAGCAATGATGTCACCAGTACAGAACGTCAGCTCAGCCTTTCAGGAGACAAAAACACAAACGTCAACATGCAAGGATCTTATTTATTAAAACCATATTATGAACATTGGCATTCTGAAGAGATCTGAGTGCAAAGTGGACCAAAGTATCTATAGTTAATGTAAGTTTGTGTCGGTCCTCATAGCTGGTCGATACCTCAACATCAACATTAGGAGAGCTCTCCCTGGGGTCGTAGTCGTACAGTGCCACCATCCTCCTCGATGCCTGATCTCGACGGAGACCTCTTCGGTTCTGTTCTGAAGGTGATAAAACATTTCAAATTTAAAAAAAAAAATCATTAAATGTTTTTAGCACTCAGCCGCAGTGCTCTTGGAGAATATTTAGTGTCTTAACATTGCTTTTTGGTATGTCCTGAAGAAGAAATGAGTTTTGTTCCAGTTTGGTGTTGAACTGCTGAAAATGGAGAATCTTCTAAACATTTATGTCTGCGTTATTGCAGTGGTTTGGGTTTGTGTGCAGTACCTATTTTGTCCACCGGGGTGCTGAGTGGCAGAAAGCCCTGTTTGATGAGGTGATCCATGGTCTCATCGTCATCTGCTCGTATCTCTGACACCATGTTACAGGGTATCAGCCCCATCCTGCCTTTCACTTCTCCTCTGTAAAACCCGTCCAGGTCCTTATCACCGTACACCTGGCAGAGATGAAAATGAAAACGTTTAACGCTCTCGCTGGTGGTAATGGACAGAACACAGTACAAATGGGAAAGTCCCCACCTTAATGATTTGCCCCTCTTTGAATGGAAGCTCCTCATCAGCTGCGTCAGGATTGGGGGACATAGACAGAGGATCGTAGTCGAAGAGGGCCACAAAGATCCGAAAGTGCTCCTCAGGTTCTGACTCGTCATAGTACGTAGGAGAACGGCGGTCCCGATTCCTGTAGCCATCTTAAACACAAAAAGACAAACACATAAAATCCCACCACAGCATATTTTTTTAGTAGCTATCTTATAAATGAGACCAAAAGCAAATAAATCAGGCATGTTGCTCAATATTTTAGTTCATAGTAAAAGTGCAAAAAAATTCTTTGTGATATGTGGTCAAAGATGGACCAGATTTCAGAGCATTAAGCAGCAAACCTTAAGCTTGTTGCTGCATAGTAGCTAATAAACTTGTGTGAAAAGCATGTTTGTCATACAGAACATCCAAGCCATGCCTCAGTCCAAAGAAAACTGTTTTCACAACCCTAAATGCGTCTTTATAATTAAAATTGATCTGATCGTGCATCGCATGATTGGCTTCATTCTCTTATCTTGCCACATTTGTTTCTGTCAGCATGCAGGACTTGTGACCCGTGAAGTACTTCGTAAAGTTCCTGTGGCACGCACACTCACGTGCATTTATAAACACACGCACGCCGACAGGCTGCATGTATTTTTAAAAGGTTTTCCTCTCAATTTGGTTTAAATATAATGAAAAACAAGGGAGTAATAACGCATGGTGCAACACACTAAAAAAAAGAAAAGGTTTTACGAACAAGACACGACGAAAACGACGAGACTCTGACATGCAAAATAATAAAAAATAAAAAACTACTAAAGCTGGTACTGAAACATTAACATACTTGCCACATTCAAAACCATATTAGCCAGAAACATTTATAAAAGGCTGCAATACTAATGAGCCAAAAATATAACTTTAAGGGATTGTTCAGACTTTTTTTGAAGTGAGGTTTTGTGGAATGATTATAAACAATTGATCTGACTAATGGACCAATATTAAAATGATATCACTGTAGCAGATTGTACAAAAACTGTGAGGAATGACTTTTTTTTGTTTTGTTTTGCCAGAGTTAAGATCTCAAACTAATGTGTTTAACATTTAAATGAAGAATACAAGAGACCCCTCTCCAAACACTTTGATCATTCTTTAGTTCAACATTCATGAGATGTTTATGAATGTGTGGTCCCGTATGTGTGTAGTTGCATCACAAAAGGAAGAGTGAGTGCGACATTCATCGAGTAGTACATCAATCAGTTATCATTCGGTTTAAAGTAGCTTCGCGGACCCCAGGTCTTGCCCGCACGTCCACCATTCCACTGCAGTGCAGTCATGCGCTTTGACTGGAAGCATAATAGTAACTAATATATATATTTTTAGTTTGTTTTTTGGAACGTACAAACAAGCAGTTGCACGTGTCCACAGCTAGTTGTTGCCATTTGCCAGATGCCGGTGGCCTTCTCTGCTGCCATGCTGGGGTGATTCAAAATTGCTCTGCACGCACATACCATGGGGAGACCTGGTGCCGCCCGTGTGCCTGCGGGACGACCACTTCCTGTGCCGAGCTACTCTGCCATAGTTAACTTCCCCGGCCACGGAGGAGGGGTTCCCCTCACTGTTATTCTCAGAGGTTACTTCTATGAGAAACACCAGTTAGAAGGTGACAAAACAAAACAGAGCTGAACGTTCCTATCTTAGAATGTTACCTAAAGGTTTGTCCCTGCTCCTAAAAGTCACAAAATAAAGGCATATGTGCTAAGATGTCCATCTAGTGGTAAAGCTATTCATTGGTGAGAGAGGGGTACAGTGCACAGCAGCTTTATAAAACTGCACCTCTGCCATGTCAAAATCTGCATTCAAAATAAAAATCATAGCCTATGTTTACAGAGCAAGTCTAGAAAAAAATCCAAAATGTTTTAACAGAACATCACAAAACATACAAATCACAAAAGACGCCACATTTTTCCTACTTCTAGCCGCATGTCTCTACTGACCAATAGAGGGGACCATTAGAGGCCGCCTCTTAAGATGGGAATGARTCCGTCTCCCACCGTCCCGATCGTGGTGGCCACCAGCAGGACTGTTTGTCTGAAATACACACAAAGAAAACATTTACAAATATTGAGCATTTGGGAAGTGCTCACGTACAGCGTGTATGCCTGTATACAGTATATTTATTCAAAAAAACAAATCCACACAACTGAACAAACTTTATATCAACAAATCCATGCAGAACTCACAGGCAGGCACTAAAACGTAGACACATAGACTCACATTGAAACACATACAAGCCAATGGAAGATACTGCAGTTTTAAAATGAAGCTGTTACTCGTCGTATGGTCCTGAATTCAGATTTGTCAGACATGGAAAACATTAGGCAAACACATTAGAGAGCTTACACTCTGGTCCTTCACGCCTCATAGGTAGACAGTTGCAAATTGAAAACATTTTTTTTGCATTTTCTTTTACACAATTTAGACTGGATGAGCTGTTTGTCATGAAAATGTTAGTTCGATGTTAATGAMGAATCAAAGTCATGGATTGAAAGAGTTAACCAAAAGATCCCGTGTTTCTCATGACTTAAAAAAAAAAAAAAAGTTGATTTATGAATCTGAAAAAAGTGTAAAAAAAACAGACCACTGTTTGGTTAGGCATTAGTCGAGCCTGGACAAAGACTTCAGTACTATGAGCACTGAGGCAGGCGTCACAATGTCACTTCAAAATTAATGACTATCCATTAAAAGCTGAAACTTTTTTTTAACTGTAGCAGTTTGAGTGCTAAAAAAGGGCTATTGTTAGGGGTGATTAGTACTGTTAAGCATTTTTTACTCAGACCTAGTAAAGAATTAGTACTATTCTTTTTTTTTTTCAATATTTTATTACTTTTTGGTTTTAGAATTGGAGCTTTGATGGTTAAAATAGGAAGAAAACGGGTTTAGAACGCTTCAGCATTGATACTGGAAGCACCTACTTCAGCATTGATACTGGAAGCACCTACTGACTGTTGTGTGGAAGCCTCACGTGTTTATTAGTGCTTTTCTCTGCTCTTATCTATAGAAGTAAAATATTTTTAATCAACCTGATTCTTTTTCCTTAATCGATTGTGCTGAAATGGTGAAGTCAACAACCTGTGCTCTTGTGTTTAACGGTAAAATTACAACATATTGTTCTTTTCAAAGTTCTTTCACAGTACAAGCCTCATTCACTCCTCAATCTGGATTTAGGTTTCTTTCCTAGGAACACTTTGACACGTAGATGTCGAAATCACTTTTTCCAAATWAATTTTGCAAGGCAGCTGGAGAGRTTTGCAAGACCAAACAGATCATGTCCTTTCAGGCTCTAAGCGGTCCGTTTGTGGCTAAAGCGTTATCTACAGGCAGGTTTTCAATGGGATAACAGTAACAAACGGTGGCTTTAATCTTCTATTGGTTCTGTGCATAGCATTCGCACATCTGATTGGAAAGGCAATCATTTTTCAAAGTGTTTGCCGCGTTCCAAATCATTTCTACAGAAAACTCCCCGGATGGTTCTGAGAAACAAACCATCTCTGCGTAAAACTCAGAACACAAACCAACAACACAAACTAAATGCAAGTTAAGGCAACAGTCTTGTTTAAAGCATCTGTGCCTGTGCAGTCCACTAAATGATATTAATCATGAGTGGTTGATTCTTGGAGTTCAGTAAAAAGTGCAAAGAACTGCACCTTGGGAGTGTTGTGCGAGTTGCGTCGCCGTCCCCCCTCTTCCAGCTGCATCTCAGAGTACAGCTCCTCCTCATCCTCTTCCATGATGTCAGACAGGTCAGAGCCCCGGCTGCTCTCGCTGTGATACTCTTCATTGTGACTATAGTGAGGCTTTTGGTCGTTACAAAGACACAAACACATAGACGCAATTGTTTAAGTCCACAAACATACCAAAGCACATATGGATGGGCAAACACACACACATACACACACAAAGACATGTGAAGTAGTGAAAACATGCAGCCACTCAGATATAAACATGCACACACACACATACCCTGCCACACACACACACACACACTCCCAGTTAAAACACGTTGGTCAAGGAAGGACAAAGTCTCATCACGGTTCRCTCTGTTCTTACCGGCCTCCCCAACTCCGAGCCCCTCAGAAACTCATCAACTGAAGGTCCTCTCCGACGGCCACGAGCAAAGCCTTCCTCATCCTCCTCTTCCTCGTCAGAGGGGTGCTGGTGAAATGAACGACCCTGCTCTACATATCTGCCCTGCCGTCTGTCTCCCTGGAAATATGACGGAAAAATAAGGTTGCAGCGTGACTTTAATTTTAACTTTTTATTTACTGAGATGTGATTGCAKCCATCTGAATAAAACAAGAATGTGTTATCTCATTTTCATTAAGCATTAAAGGGGGGGTATTATGTATTTTGTAGACACAGTTAGATTCTATATCACAATATAGTAACTATGTTCCCATCTGTTGTTATAAAAATGCTGTATACATGAAAAATAAATTTGTCGTTGGATTACAAACACCTTGAAATGGGCCTCTGTTTAAAAAAAAAAAACTCCTACCATTTCCAACACTCCCACTTTAGCACATCTTCAAAACAATGCTTCATGGGAGGGCTGCTCTGTGAGCTGCAGACTGAGCTCTGGGAGGAGCTTTGGGTAAATAGGCGGAGCTTTGCATGAGCAACCATTTAGGCAGCTCCACGTAGTTACCCCAGGACATTCAAGAATTTCTCAAACACACATGAATGTGTCAAAGCAACACTCTGGGTAGGGTTTTGATGAGAGAAGGAGAAAGTGCGTRAGACATTTTTGCATAATAYCCCCCCCCCCCCCCCCTTAAGAGTTACAGTGTTGTCATTCAGTGTTCTTTTTTCCAGACCTTGCCACTTTCTGCTGCCACTCTTTGTGCTGCTTCTCGAGCAATGGCTTTGGCCACGGTGTCTGGAATGAGCGTGCCCTGGGGCTGAGGAAGAATCCTCTGAGGGGAGGGTGAGCGCAGGTTGGGAGGGGGCGGGGGCTCCAGAGTGTGGCCCGGCATGGGCACGGGAGGCTGCGACGGAGATCGCGTCGGGTCCCAGCCAGGCTGGTGGTCGGGTGGGATGGCTCTTCCGTGGTGAGCTGTGTGCTCTTTGGCATCCAGGTCTCTGGCACTTACTGGTCTCTGAGGTATAGGGTGGGGGTGGGGCAGCAGAGGCAGTCGGTGCTGGGGCCTTGGACCCTGGTGGGGGGCGCGAGGTTGAAGATGTAAAGGCTGGGGTTGGGGATGCGGGGGTCTACCTGGGTGTGGCAGTCTTGGATGGGCTTGGGGGTGCTGAGGATGAGGTGGGAGTGGTTGAGAATGAGGTGGAGCAGGGAGTTGGGGTGTAGGGTGAGGAAGGTGAGGAGACGGGAGGTGGGGTTGAGGGTGAGGTTGAGGGTGAGGCTGAGGGTGAGGAGGGGGTCCCACATGAGGGTGCATTGGCGCTGGTAGGGGAAGTGGGGGTAGAGGCACAAGCAGGTTGTTTGGAATGACGGCGACTTGGGAGTCCTGGGATTCTCCCTGGACTGACAGTGTCTTAACGATGACCTCTCTGGCCTCCAGGCATTGAATCCTCGTCAGATCAATGGTGACGTAGTCTGCCATTGGGAACAACACCTCAGCTATCTGGGTTTAAAACAACAATATGTTATTATTATCAGAACATGCAGCACTGAGTCGAAAATATACATTGTTACATTTTAATTACCTTATTATAAAGCCCCAAATCCCYATCTAAGAAACACTAACCCTGAACTGGCACAATTTTTTGCACAATAGTTGTTTTTTCWAACTAAACTCTAAAACACATCAGCTCAGCACATCACGCTAAAGGTTCTGTTGTTTGGTTAAAAGAAAAAAATACAGAATCCAAACATCAATGCCAGTATTGCTACAAAAACAGAAAAATCCTTTGTGTTAGCACATTGTACAGTTAATGTGGATATGTTTATGGCTTCAGGCTAGAAGTATATCTGTATTCAATAAATGGGGTTTTTCAAATTAAACCAAAGTAAATTTTCCATGTTTCAACAGATAAATTGTCCACTAGGATTTTCTTCTGGCAGAGTAATAAATGAGCAGCACTGCCTTTTTTTTTTTTGGTCAGGGAATCCTGTAGTTATCTTCACTCTATGACTTTTTTATATGAGCATAATATTTGATAATTAGCATTTATCTAAAACAAGAAGCACTATAGTCYATACTTGAGAAGCTATAAACAAAATATAAATTAAACAGTGAAATACTGATGAACCACTTTTTGTACTGTTCCATTCTCAGGACAATGTCTGAAAATATTCAGGCACTGTCTTTGCTTAAAATAGAAATCTTCATTTTTATTTACCTATTTGTTGTTTTTTTTAGCTGCCCTGCTGAATTGGTGTGAATATTAACAATTGTTGTTTTGGTCACACTTCAACCAGTGTTTCACTCAGAAGCGTATATCCTGAAAAAAATAACTAAGTAAAAGTAAAAAATACCTTAACAGAAAATAACTGATAAAAATTAATTTCACTGATTAAAAAGTACTTAAGTAAAAGTCATAAAAGTACTCACAATAATCAGGAAAGTAAAAGCACAAAAAGTACTTCGATTTGTAACAGGTAACTAGGTGTTATACTTTTTCTTTACTTTAAAATTTAACACTTAGTTACCTGTTACAAACTGAAGTACTTTTTGTACTTTTACTTTCCTGATTATTGTGAGTACTTTTTCTTTACTTTAAAATTTAATTTGTATGTTTTGAATGTAACAAAATTAAAGTCTAATTTACTCTTTAAAAATATGCTTGGTAAAATTACAGATGCTCAAAAATAAATGCTTGCTGTAAGTTCTGTAAAAGCGCTSTATAAGTTCAGTCYATTTACCATTTTTTATTTACCTTTTCTGTAACGACWTTTACTATACACTTCTGGTTTCATTATTAGAAACTTAAAAATTAAAAAGAAACATAACCGAGGCAAACAAAACTCAAGAACTCTAGAGATCTRTTTTAAACTCAGAATATAGGGAAAAAAAAACTCCTACTTTTTTTAACCAGCAGAGGGCAGCTCAGAAGTACTTTTTGACTGCAAAGTTGAGGTGATTTTTAGTGTTTTGATTTACATTAGCAGTCAGCAGAGGGGGTGAGAGATCTTTCACGTCCCAGAATGAGAACTGTGTACTAAACTCAAGCACAAGCAGGTGGCACCACTGTGTACACCAACAGCACAGATGACATAATGTTAAAGACAAARGCTAAAAGCATCCCAGCTGTGATATATGGTATTGCTGTTTGAGGTGGATTAAACGTGATTAAGCATGTGATACAATGTCACCACAGCTTTAATGCTGTATCTGCAYGTTTATGTGCCCCCACCCCTAAATCTTCAGTGATGGTTTTAAACTAGGATTAGCTCCTGGTCATCACTTTCTACAMTGTCCTTCAACAAAACAAACAAAAGGATAAAGTATGACTTGGTATTACTAAGACAAGCTTACTCACCCTTTGTCCTTTGGTGCAGACTGCGTAGCCAATGACATTTGCCCCATTAGAAGTGCCTGTGGGGGAGAGAATGGGAGGCTTCCAGCGGACCTGCAGGACCCCTGGAGCTTGCCCACAGAGCACCTGAACATCGAGGGGAGGCAGCGGTGGGCCTGGAAGGTGATAAATCACGTGTACGATTTATTTTGAAAAGATTCATAAAACAGTTTGCTGTTTAAAGTCCTTGACACATTAATGATGATAGAAATAGTGAAGCATTCCTTTAATGCACAAACAAGTATACACACACATGCACAAAACACACAGATATCAATGAGGAAGTGGGGAAACATGGGACTACTGTACAAGCTGATGCATTTGGCAATCTGCAACTTAAATTTAAATTTGGGCAATATTACTTAACAGTTTCCTGTGCATAACACAATTTTGGTTCCTGGCAAGTAAATGTTTTTTCATTTTATTGCAAAATGACAAAAACTGCTTTTTAAATTTTGCTTTTGTGGATTTACACTTTTTATTTTTAAATGAAAGGTGATTCTTCAATCAAATGCTGTTTTACCCACATGCCTTTTGTGATTGCATTCAACATGTGATAATCATCCTTCTACTGAAGGGACAATAATAAGAATGACATCTCTGCTTTCTAGCTTTCTGTATCATTTAGTGGTAAAACAGAGGTAGCCAAGCACTGCTGATTCAGTCTGACCTGTTCTGCAAAATGGTGTTGGGCCTGGACAAAATACAATACACAACAATAACATAGTAAGGAAACATGTTCTTAAACTCTCCAACATAACAAAACAAACATTTAAAATGATTTACTTAATACAAATATGTAGAAAAAAATGTGGTCTTAAAGGGGCAATATCATGTAAAATCAACTTTTTTGAGTTTTATATCATGTTATAATGTTATACTCTCATAAAAAAAAACATGCTCAAAGCCTTGCTTTGACTTATTCATGCATGTTTGACAAATCCTGCAGCATTTTTAAGAAGCCATGCTGAGGAGCAAAACAACAGGTGGGGACCAGAAACGCCAATGGGACGTGTCTTTAAGCCGAGCTTCCTCATCACGGAGCACACCTCCCCACCCCACACACCCCGCCCATGACTCCTGCAGGCTCTCGGCAGTAACAGAGCAAAGTGAAAGTGAAACTTAAACTGTCTGCTGCCCTCAACACTATTCTCACTCAGTGAAGCTCTTTTCAGATTCCAAATACCTCTAAGGCTTAGAGGAAATGTATTTTCAGATGCCAAGTAAACTGCATCATAGCGCACGCGCGAGCCCCCCCTCGCTCGACCCCCCGCTCCGGCAGGCTACGTGCTTAAGTGGGCGTGACCGAAGTGGTTGGATTTTCTTAAAGAGACAGAGACCTATTTCAAGGCATTTAGAAACTCAAGATGAGAAGTAAATTGTTTTGGGGATTTTTAAAAATATATAGCTCTTTCATAAACTGAAAATGTGACATAGTTAATTTATTTTAGTATAAAATTTAAATACAGGCTTGGAAACCACATAATATCACCCCTTTAATACACCAAAAACTCCAAGCCAACAAGCGTTATAAGCATTAATAAGAAATAATCTATTATTATTGATATTTTTTGTGAAAAAATGATGTAATTCTGACCTGCAGCCTGAGTGCAAAACTCTACCCCAGCCTCTTTTCGTTCTCTTTGCTCCAGGGGCAGCTGCCAGGGTACCTGATGAGGTTGTGCCGCCACCGTCACTTTATACACCGTCAGAGGCTTCAGGTTGATGAAGCGTAGTCTGTACCTTCCTGGTTTTACCACTGCATGCTCTGCCCCATCTAAATACACAGTGTGACTGTAGTTACTGTTGCTCGGCAGCCAGGAGAGTTCGGCAGTGTCACGCTGGATGTCGTCCACTCGCAGACCGCAAGGCGCCACCACCACGTTGGCCCCCACCAGCAGGGTGCAGCGCAGCTCGTCTGATAAGCCCCGATCGGTGATGCTCTGCACCGACACCCGGTAGATGCAGCCGTCCAGGTCCAGCTTCTCGAGCAAGCACTTGGTCCGGCCGCCGTACGGCACACTGGCCCGCAGCTCCCCGTCCACTAACACGTTGTAGCCAGAGATGTTTCCCCAACCCAAAGGCACTACTGGAGGCTCCCATGCCACAATAACGCTCCGTGCCAGCTGCTTGATCTGGGTTATCTTACGGGGGTAAGGCACAACGTCTTCAGCTAGATCCTCGGGGTCCAAAGGACCCCCTGTCCCGTTGCTACACGGAACCAGGGCACCGGACGAGCCTAGAAGGCTATCCTGGGAGACACCTCCATCCACCGTCATCAGGGCCAGAGTTGTGTGGTCCAGAGGGCCTATGTCTTCCCCTCCCTCCCCAATTGGTTTTTCCTTGTCTTGGACAAATTCCACAAAGTTGGAAGGAACAAGTCCTCTCTGGCCATCCAGAAGCTCGCCTGTTTAGACAGAAAAAAAAGACAGATGTACAAAATGAACAAGTATTTGTCCTCAAAAAGCAAACAGTACCAGGGGAAAGGAGGTTGCAGGTCTAACTTTCATTTGAGGCATTTCTGGTTAAAGCATTGCCTCTCTGTGCATGTGTGGGTTTTCTACAGGTACTCCAGTTTCATCCCACAAACCAAAACCATGCGTAGATTAATTGGTAACTCTAAACTGAGAGAGAGCGTGGATGGTTGTCTGCCTCGTGTGTCTCTATGTAGCCCTGGAATGGATTTGAGGCCTGTCCAGAGTGTACCCCACCCTACATACAGTCACTGCTGGATGGCTGGCTGGCTGGCTGGCTGGCTGGCTGGCTGGATGGATGGATGGATGGATGGATGGATGGATGGATGGATGGATGGATGGATGGATGGATGGATGGATGGATGGATGGCACAAACAAACCAAAGAAGACCATCTTTTAGGAAATGCAGCCTCCCTTTGTGGTGCTCCAACTGTTATTATTTTTAACAAGACAAAGACTAGAGCCAGGCTGTGGCATCATTAAAACTAATTAACAAATGGCTCAGCAAGAGATGAGAGACATGTATTTGCTATTTTTTATTATTTATTTTATCATTTGGCTCTTTAATGCTACTTTCCGTACTGCTCCCCCACCCTCAATGGAAAAAACAAAAACAATCCTTTTCAACTTTTCGAAGAAGTCAAACCTTAGCTGGTGCTACATTTCCAACAGAAACACCTCAAACTATATCTATATATGTATGCACGCTTTACAGAGAAATTATAATTAATTTTATTATTATTTAGATATGTACTTTGTTGCTATGTTTTCTTCTATCCATTTATTTTTAGGTGAGCGGACAGATGTCGGCTATGTGGCCTTGTGTTTTCTTGGTGTATGTTTAATATATTTCCAATCTCTATTTTAATCTTTCTAATTACATTTCCTATTTGTTTTTCCCTCTTTTCCTATTTCCTCTTTACTTAAAAAAATCACTGATCATGAAGAAATTAAGAAACTAATATTAAGTTATTTTTTCTATTGAAGTGATAAAAAAGGAACACCTCATAGGACGCAGATGACGTGGTCTTTTCAAGGAAAGAAAAAGGCTCTGATTTTCTGTGCATTTTTAGCCAGAGGCAAGAAGTTTCTCTACGTCACAGCTCCTCATCTTGTCCTTTCCCGCAGAGGCCTGGGAAACCTTCAGACCATGTGTGTCTGTGTGTTCGTGTGTATGTGAGAGCGAGAGTGTGTGCGGTTTGTGTGCTGATGATTAAGCCGAGCCCCACTGGATTAGTCATCACACTAAAAGGGACCACGGTCCCATCTTGTCAACAGCTTGGTCTGAGGCCCAAGTCTCCCTCCTGTGTGGTAAATACGGAGCTCCTCCACAATAGCGTGCAATCCGACCGCCCACAGCTAATGAATCACTGCAGCTGAGCACCACCATGACTCCGACAGGGCGGTGTTGGTCGCACGATCGCTGGCTAGGGGGATCAGGGTTGCCTCTGACTGGAAAGCCTTCATCATTCTTAATAGATTAGAAAGGGATTCACTCCTGTGAGCAGTTGTGAGAAAGTGTGCGGGAAGTTTTCATGGTGACAGCCAGCACTGACGAAGCCGAGGTCACAGAGTGAACGTAGCCAGAAGGCACATGACGGACATTTTTAGCACGGGGGTGACGAGTCATGCAAGCTGCCACACAAGAGCAAGAGCTGTCTTTGTGGCCGTGTTTACAGAAACAACTGCATCAGCACTACGGTTCTTTTACATTAAGGTTTGATGGGGATGTGTTGTTCCGTCTTAGCCAAGACGCCTCAAACTCATCTTATACAGACACAATAAAAAGTAATGTACATTTTACTGTTTAGAAAATGAACCTTGGATGAGGTGAGAGGAAATGAATGATGAGGAACGTCAGGTTCAAACTTAAACTAAATGAGAGTTGATGCACAATTTTCTGTTTTCTAAGAATCCATAAAGACGTACACACTGTTCTGATTAATGAAACTCAAAGACAAATCTTTGATATTTGTGTTTAGCAGCGAATTTTACAACTCCAAGACAACTTAAACACAATCTCACCTTCATAGAAGCCATCGTCATCCATGTCTCCGTACACGTACAGATACTTTCCAGCCACAAGAGGAAGCTCTGCTTCAGGATGCTCGTTAGGTCCATCATAAGGATTGTAACTTAAAAAAGAAAAGGTCAAAGAACGTGTTTAGTTGACTTTAAAGGTGTGCACATAAATGTCAGGCCTGCATACAGTCATGTTAACATAAACATGTGGGTGCTTGTCATACTCACCTGTAACGAGCAGTGCAAAGGCGGACCTGGCCTGTGTAGCGAGGTTTGGACCTGGGTGATGGGCTGATCTCATCCTCCATCTAGCAAATAGAGTCATTAAAAGAGAGAATTTTGTAATAATTAGTAATACTCTATTGTAGTCAGCTAAGTTTAAGTAGTAAAATTATGGATGTGCACGCACACACACACACACACACACACACACACACAC